GACAGGAGCTCTGAAGTTATAAAAAGAAACTTACAAGTCTGAAAATGTGGTAAAACTGCATTTAGCATGCGATGGGTTTTTTTTCGAAAATTTTTTTTGGTACTTACGTATTTTTGTCTGAAAAACACGAATTTGATAATGAAAATGTGAACAAACCATTATTTATCAAGATATTTCACTATGAAGTTACAAATTTACCCTTCTTTTCCGCCTGTCTTCTGGATTGAATTTAAAATAATTTACCCTTCTTTTTTCATCATTGGATAAATTTATATATATCACAATGTAAGACACATTTTTTTCTATTATTGAGTCAACTAGAAATATGATTTTCTTGTGATTTATCCATATTTATTGAAAAGAAGGAAGAATATCATTTGAAATAATGGCGTGTGTAATGTCATTCCAAAGCAATCTATTGACATTTGACATCTCGTATTTGGATTACCTATGGATAAAATGGCCGTCATCTGGTATGCTTGCTCACTAAATAGGAAAAACTCACCATAAAAATCATATTTCCTGTTGAATTTTCTGTATAAAAATGTGTTATTCACATTCATGAGTATATAAAGTGTCCAATGACAAAATAAGAAGAGCAGGTACCTGAAAATACATCCAACGCAAGGGGGAAAAAGGGGTCGAAATTTCGAACTTTTTTTGAAATATCTCGATAAATAGTGGTTTGTTCACATTTTCATTATCAAATTCGTGTTTTTCAGACAAAAATACGTAAGTACCAAAAAAAATTTTCGAAAAAAAAACCATCGCATGCTAAATGCAGTTTTACCATACAAACATCCAATATTGGTCCAATACGTAATGAATCATATAATGTTGAAATTCTCCAAATCCATACAGAGATGATCGAATAATTCGATGGAGATATTTCAATCGGCCATACACTCCCACAAGTACCAAGGAAGAATCAAAAGTGAAAAATTGAAATGTCAGTCAGATATCAAAAATATGAAATGTCACTGCTGTCAATTGCATCGATTTATAGTGATTTATACGCGAAACTGATTCCTTAGATCATACAGGAATCTGAGAATAGTTCTGTGACATATTAAACTTAAATGAACGACAGTATTTTCGTGATGACTGATGGCTGGCGCTGAATAATTTATAAGGATGGTGCGAGCAGATTCCAAGTGTAAAATCATCCATGAAACTTTTTATCGTGAGTTCGGATCCTACACTCAGTTAAAGTTTATAACAACCACTAAGGCATTTACTCAGATCTCGAACTAAACTGATATTCATCCGGAATAAATACTCGACAAACAAAATCTGATCAGTGCTTACACCATCCGGATAAACATTTGATGAACAACTATTCGTGTTGCTGCTGAGGAAAAAGTTACGGTTTCACAACTGCTTGCAGACATTCGTGTTCTCAAGACGAACTATCGCTGACGTATTATGGACCCATCTCGGGTCAGAAAGAAAGTATCTGTACGAAGAAAATATCTCACGTTATCTGTCAACTCTGTCATTGAATATTGACTTATAATTGTCAGAAATCGATTGTCAATTGATTTAATCATTGAAATAAAAATAAAGTAAACAATGATGGATCATTATATTTAAATGATATCTTACTGAGCACATAATATAATGTATGCGAAATTGTTTGAAATAAAGGTGAGTACAGTGAGGCGAAATACTGAAAGATAGTTCATAATACAGCATAACATGAAGTTATCATATAGCACAGTGAACATGATACCGAGTGTGACATCGATCTGATACTTAAGAACACGAAATTCAATGATTCCAGAATAATAATAACGGAGAATTCGTAGTGCAAAATAAAACCGTAACAACCCATACTATCGGAACAATACTGATCGTCTTGAAAGTCTGCAACGACGGTTTTTAAAACTGTTAAGTTACAGGTCATGCGGTACATACCCTCCAATTGGTACACCTCATGGAGAGCTTCTTGAAACTTTCCAATTTGTAAGCCTGTACGTAAGAAGACAATACTTCTCTATCCTAATCCTTTATAAGGTTGTCAACAATCTAATTGACGTGCAGATTTGTTGGAGAAATTGAATTTTATAATCCCGAGATTATCTTCCAGAAATTGTGATACAATCTACTTAGAGTTTCCTGGAACCAACATATATAAAAATTCACCTTTGTATAAGATGTGTAGTACATATGACTTGGTGGCTAGGATTCTAGATCTGTTTTGCTGTGGAATAACTCAGGTCAAAACTTTTCATCTATTTTCTCCTTCATCAGTGAATAACTAGATAGTCAGGATATTTTTATTTTGTCATATTGTTTCGTCTATCCATTATGCTTATGTAATATGCAACGCATATGATTTTTGTTTTGTCTTTTGTCCACGTTATCAGAGACATCGGGAACCCCCAAGTGGTAAGTGCCCCGCCGAACAGTTGAATGGCGGTCCTATTCCGGTTCATACTTCTCCTCAGGTTTTCTGCGGTGCCAGGCGGCGCCGCGGTAGGTTGTACCTGAAGTGAGTAAATTAAATAGAGTGGCGACCATAGACCTCAACATGGCTGACGTTTCCGGAATGTCATTCGTGGTCAAGTCACTGAATACCTGAAAATCGGAAGGGTATCTCACATGCACCTCCACCATATGTCACGTTTAAATCTCTAGGGGTAGAATTGTCAGTATCCATAATCCTTCCTGAGACATTCAAACCTATGACCAGTGAGGGGTTACTCGCTTGGCAGCAGAATAATGAGGCCAGATTCAACTTAACAAATTCATGAATTTTTATTCAATCATAAGCTTACATAGAGAGAGACTACGAAAATGAGTGTAAAATAATAAACAAAAGATGTCGAGCGTCAACGAGACAAAATAACCAGAACACATAGTATATGAAATTATATAAAAATGACCCAGTATATGTATTTCGTTGGTATATATTGTACACACCAACTTGATATCAACCTCCATTGAGGCCCTTCAGCCTTGTCATTCAATATTTCGAGAAGAAATAATTTTCTGATCAATTTATCGTACCCTTTTACCAACTGGAGGAGACGCTATGCACTCTCATACAAAAATCAAACACGGAGAAAGATATATGGATGTACTCTTCCCAGGACTTGTGGAGGAAGGAAGATGCGAGGATCCTTTATCTAAGCGAAAAACATATTCTTGTCCTTGTCTGGAAAAACATATGATTTGCTTCAAAATCGTTTGTGGTTATGTTTGATTGTCACTGCTTGTCTAGTGTCCGTACTCTAATATACAGAAAACGTCGAAACTAGGGTCCCTTGATGGAAATTGACGTTAAAGTTATCTTTACAGGGTACGGACAGATCCTCGTCTCCTCTCACTCTAAAGTGTTTGTGAAACAGTTATATAGTTCCATCCTTATTCAATTCTAGGGAAAAACACTAGATTTTTGACATTCGTTGTTTTTTAGGTTATATTGAGGTCACTGGCGTATCATACGTAATTTCCATATGGAATTCCCGATTCAACTATACCAAGATATAGATGAACAGTCCTCTAGATTTAGAGTTTACTACTCCAGCATAATCTTTGCGAGGTAGGAAACATATAAATTGTACTGAAAGCTTAATATATTTCACCAAGAGAGACTGTTCTTAGACTGTATACTAGGGTTGACTGAATTGACTGAATGAATTCTGATTTCAAGCTGAGCAGAAGTTTATCTATCAGCTTAATGAGCTGAGCCTTATGATTGAGAAATGATGGAAACCGAAACTACTGTACTTATTCATGTGTGCTCAATATATTTTTGGAAATCCAGCTCGGTGAAGAATTTATGGAGTGACTAATATCACGTATATCATGTATAAAACTTTGTCTAGGACGAAAAGTAGGCTGATAAAAAGTAATACGTAAAATATGCAGGAAAATAAAGAATAGAATATACTTTACCCCCATGTTATACATATGATTTTTCCGTCCCCCTCAAATTAAAAGTCATTTTCGAACAATTGATTGATAAAAGTAACAAAGATGTAGGTACTTATACGCAGTATAACTTATAGTCACGTTATTTTCACTCTTGCATCCAACATATTTTCTATTTTTCGTAGAGTAATAATCATATAAACTAATGTCTTTCGCCATATCGAATCCGCCATCTTGAATTTTCCAATTTTGACGAAACGATCATTATCTCCTACCCCGAAACCCCTAGATACCAATTTTGAATAGAATCGAATCTCCATTACAAAACTCCCCCCACCCCACGGAAATTCACATATACCAATTTTGATTTTTGAATAGAATCGGATCATAATTACAAAATTCGTTCGCCATATTGGATCCGCTATCTTGAATTTCTCAATTTTGACAAAAAATCATAAAGTTCGACCCCGAAAACCCCCAGATACCAATCTTAAATAGAATCAGATCATAATTAGAAATTTCTTTCGCTATACGGGCTGATTCACGGTGGCAGCGCTGAGAATATTTTAGGTCGATAGAACACAACTAATTATTCAAGGCACCAACTTTTCAGAAAAATCCTGAGTTGCGTTTTCCAGAAACGTCTAATGTGCCATCCACCGTGAATCAGCCTGTATATTGGATTGGTCATCTTGAATTTTCCAAGTTTGACGAAACAATCATTATCTCCAACCCCGGAAAACCCCAGATATCTTCCAATTTTGAATAGAATTGGATCATAATTACAAAACTCGTTCGCCATATGATCTTCAACAAGTAAACACCCTGTACATACCTATTATTGAAATTTTGAATGATTTTCTGTAGCGCCCATGGATGTGACGTGACAGCAATGTCAGTGATGCCAGTAGACAAAACTAAAGTCTCTAGATCATTAAAAAAGAATGCAGCTATGATCTGTCCGTACCCTGTTAAGATGACTTTAACGTCAATTTTCATCAAGGGACCCTAGTCGAAACAGCAGTGTCAAGTACATTCAAGAACTCTACCTGAAATGAACCTTCATTGTCGATCTGAATGCGTAGATACTTCAGTCGCAAAATTTCCTCCATTTTTTCCAGAAAAACTGAACGGCGACCCGACGTCGACCGTGGCCGCTCTCGACCTTGGCGGCGGATCCACGCAAGTCACCTTCTACGCCGTGACGCCGGCCAGTCTGAAGGAAACGCAGCGCATCCACCAGGCAGTGTCGCCGCGTGGCCCCATTCCCGTCTACACGCACAGCTTCGCCGGTCTGGGCCTGATGGCGGCCCGTCACGCCGTGGTGACGCTGGGCCAGGGGCGGGATAAGAACGTGACGAGCGCGTGCGTGAATCCGATAGTGAGGGGCAGGAAGTTTAGCTATCACGGTGAGTTTGATTGCGATGGTTCTTTTTTGTTACTTGCGCATTTTTGTCTGAAAAACACGAATTTTATCAAGAAAATATAAGCAAACCCTTGTTCGTTGAGATATTTCAAGACAAAGTTCTAAACTTCGCCTTCTTTTCTTTCTATTCTTACACAACTACTTCCCCTTTTTTTCATGTTCGGACCCTTTATAATAATAATGATAATAACATTTATTGATCCCAAGAAACATACAATGTTTATAGAGGGAAACAAAAAAAAAATATATCAAATATGCAATGCAGGGAGTTAAATTGATAATATTTATTTCTTCAGTTCACACTCAAATTTTGTGATGAACCTTATAGATTTTATTCTGTTGGGTAGACTATTGTAAATATTTATTCCACAAAAATACAATGATTTTTTGCTCATGGGTATCAGAATTGATATTGAAAGTAAGATTCGAGTGCTTTTTCTTATTTTCAGTGAAATGAATGAAAATGCATACTTTCATTTTGAAGAGAGAGTCAATATCTAGCAGATCCCTTGGTTTGTATAGTCTAGATGTTGATTCCAGAAATGGTAGTTCATAAATACATGTTATGGCTTTATATTGAAGAGATTTGAGAGGTTTCAAGACAGATTTTGCTGCAGTACCCCAGATCGATATCAGATACTGCAATTCAGAGTAAATCAAACTGAAATAAATTAATTTCAAGTATTTAAGAGGTATAAAAGACCTCAATTTGTATTTAATACCAACAATAATGATCACAGAGTACTTAAATTACACATTTTGTATAGAAAAATCAACTAGAAATATATTTTTCGAATTTTTCGTGAACAATCACACCAGCTGACGGTAATTCAATCATCAAAGACATATGCACTGCGTATAGATTATGCAAGAATTCACTTTCACTGTCGGTAAATAAGATAACTTCAGTTTATTCTGAAGATACATTCTGCACAAATAATTTCTTCCATTTAAGTGGAAACAAATATTGAAGAAGGAAGAATATCATTCCAAATGATGGCAAGGGTATAACATCATTCAAAAGTAATTGGTGTGAGTTGGTGGGTGACACACACTGTTAGTCCAGCCCTCAGACTAAATTACAATAAACAGAGACCGCAATTCATTCATTAATCCTAACCGCCAAACACGTAGAAATAAGTGAAATCGCGAATGGTGATATTATTGATTGATTGATTGAAAAGTTATTATAGTTTTTCAGTACATCCATATTTTGCCTGATGACTCATAGCTCTGATTATCTTTACGCACTCGTTAATAAAATTGAAAAGACTACTTTGGTAGTGAAATACCGTTAGTTCACAAATTGAAACATAGATATTTTCATGGACGATGCTCTTCTGAAATATCAACAATTGTTCCTCCCTTGGCAGTCCCCGCGAGATAAACCCGTCGAGTTGAGGCTTCGCACCCCTTCGTGGTCACTTTTGGAGACCTGCAGAACGTCTCTTTTCAAAGACTCGTTCATCCAACGAACAGCGAGGCTCAGGAACACATTGCCAAGGGAGGTGTTCCCCGAGGCATATAACCTCCAGAAATTTAAGAAGAACACCAATTCCTACCTTATTTCCCTTGGCTCTCACGATGTTCTCTGAACATTACAGGATATCCCTTTTCGTGGGAACCAGAACATAAAAAAAATTACCTGCGATAACTACATCACTGCTCAAGTTGACAGAAACATATAACCTTACTTACCGTCGAACTACAAATTTGGGGCTTGGATGGTGAACTTTTTCACAATTCACAGTGGCAAATCATAATAGACTTTTCATAATTGTCTATATATAGTTTAATAAAAAGAAAACACAGCACAACAACACTGTAACGTCGGCTTTTGACATATGTGAATAACTTTGAGCGCTGTCACACTTATTTCCATTATACATTATAATTTTATGTAATGATGAAATTAGGAGAATTTGACTTATTTCTATAGCAGAATTCACATATTACAATAAAGGAACAAGCATACAGAATAAATATACATAAACAATGTATATTATAAACTACTCAACACTAATTTCGTCGCATACCAAAATGTCGCCCCTGTTATAATGTGAATAACTTTTTTCAGTTTAGAACAATTCGAATTTGGTTCACACTGTTCGATAGCCCAGTCCTTCAGCTATAATCTGTTACTTCATTGAAACATAAGGGTAATCACATTAAATCTCTACATGGTGTTTTCCGACACTGTGCAAAATTTCGGAATATTCAAAAGGCTCTCAAATGATGAAAAAATTGTTTTTCTCAACTTCGACAACAGAGGCATGAAGATGATCTCATTACCTCGAGATATTTCGCGAATCAACTTCCTATCTCCCTTATTTACAGAGTGATCTCAAAAAATCAACTTTTTGGTTTTGCAGACATAACTTTTTTCCACGTCAACCGATTTTGGAAATCTTAGGCTCATTTTGAAGATAAAACTTCAGATGAAGAGATCTGGATATCAGAATTGACTCAAGATGGCTATCAAAGATCTAGAGTTTCCTTGAAAGTGTCCCAAATCTGGAACGCCCTCCGAATCCCGGTTGAGAGGAGAATTGAATGAAAATCAACTTGTTCTCGGAAAAACAAATCATTCTGTATGCGTCCATATTTTCCTCGCTCTCAGTACTCAAGAATGTGCGTGAGAAAACACAATTGAAACATGTTCTTGCAAAAACATCAGACCATTTCTCCTCTGTAATGCATGGCCCGTAACCAACGTTACAAGAATCACAGTAAGTGACTGACAAGTCAGGTTAGACGTCGTTTTCGAATCATAAACAGATTTTGATAGTTTCGATGCCGCATTTAACGCCCGACCAGTTGGAACTGATTCCACAAATGAGGGAACGAGGGTTATCTTTCCTCCAAATCGCGGATCTGCTAAACACGACAGTCCGATCCATTCAAAGGGCTTATCTCCGACACGACTTGTTTGGTTATTACTGTCGATTCGTTCGGCGCATTATTGCGATTGAAAACATTACGTAATTGGCAAACAGTTTTCGTGAAACTTTCACCATTTTTGAAATGCGTTTTTACAATAAATAAACGTTGTTTGCTTGAATACTTCTCCATATTCTTAAATCGTATGTTATGTACGTGACAACTGTTAAAAAAATCACTTTATTGAAGAAATCAAAATCCGTTGCTCTTGTTGGTACACCATTCATGATGAGCCTCAGCTGGTCGGGTCGGGTTTGTCAGTCACTCATTGTGATTCTTGTAACGTTGGTTACCGCGGGCCATGCATTACAGAGGAGAAATGATCTAATGTTTTTGCAAGAACATGTTTCAATTGTGTTTTCTCACGCACAATTCTTGACTACTGAGAGCGAGGAAAATATGGACGCATCCAGAATGAATTGTTTTACCGAGAACAAGTAGATTTTCATTCAATTCTCCTCCCAACCAAGATTCGAAGGGCGTTCCAGATTTGGGTCACTTTCAAGAAAACTCTAGATCTTTGATAGCCATCTTGAGTCAATTCTGATATTCAGATCTCTTCATCTGAAGTTTTATCTTCAAAATGAGCCTAAGATTTTCAAAATCGGTTGACGTGGAAAAAAGTTATGGCTGCAAAACCAAAAAGTTGATTTTTGGAGATTACTCTGTAAATAGGAGAGATACGAAGTTGATTCGCGAAAAATCTCGAGGTAATGAGATCATCTTCATGCCTCTGTTGTCGAAGTTGAGAAAAAAATTGTTTTCACCATTTGAGAGCCTTCTGAATATTCCCAAATTTTGCACAGTGTCGGAAAACACCATGTAGAGATTTTATGTGAATACCCTTATGTTTAAGAAGAAGAAGTCTTTATTGAACCACGGAAAATTACATTTTCATAGAGGTCCTTACTCTAAAAAAAACATGTCATATAAAAAAAAAGGAATCATTAAAATTATAGAGTACATTTTGTCAGGTACATTGGTTGCGTAGTATTGATAATAGCCTAATTATATCACAGAATTTGTCACTACCTATCATTACTTTGCGTTTTTACAAAAAATCTTGAAAAGATTACAAATGTAGCCAATTCAAAGCGTCTATTTACTCATAAGGTATTTTTTCAGTTTTTTATTAAATAATTTGCTGTTACATTCTTTTATTTCAACAGGAAGTTGATTATATATTTGAACACCTTTAAAGCAAATGGATTTTTTATAGGCTTCCATAGATGCATTGGGTAAGAATAACTTCTTGCTATTGCGTGTATTGTATGAGTATAAACTATCACATGTCGTAAATGACAGATTTGAAAATTTTTGACCGTTAATGGTTTGATGAATGTGATTGGATATTTGGAGTTCATACATATTATCTAAACTTAAAATATTGAAGTTTTTATAAAGATTAACTGTACTATATCTATAGGGCAGTGAGTATATATTTTTGATGGCTTTATTTTGGAGTGTCCTCACTTGTTTCACCAATTTATTACAGGCTGGAAACCAAATCATTACCAGATATTGAAGGTGGCAGTGTATTAGAGAGTAATACACTGATCTTAGTAAAAATCTTGGAACATACCATGACAGACGCTTCAAGATGCCAATTGGGGCACTAATCTTTTTGGTCAAACGATTTATGTGATTACTCCATGACAATGTTGAGTCGATGTATAGACCTAGATATTTTATTTCACAGGTATATTTGATTTGGTTAGTGCCAAAGATAAGAGGTTCAGTTGAATTGATTTTATTGTTAGAGACAAACATGAAACGTGACTTCTCGGTATTTAAAGTCAATTTGTGACTTGCAAGCCATTTTTCAACAAGTAGGAGATCAAGCATCATGTCCTCTCTTATTTGTTCTATAGATCTACCTGAATAAAGTAGTATGGTATCATCAGCATACAATTTTATTTTCCCTCGGAGGCGCAGGTTTGACATTGAATTGACATAAATCAGGAATAATGTTGGTCCTAATATCGTGCCCTGAGGGACACCACATGTTATTGTTTGATTAGTACTAGCTACACCATCAATTGCTACATGTTGTAGTCTGCCTGAGAGGTACTCTTTGAACAATGAAGTACCAGAATATAGCTGAAGGACTGGGCTATCGAACAGTGTGAACCAAATTCAAATTGTTCTAAACAGAAAAAAGTTATTCACATTATAACAGGGGCGACATTTTGGTGTGCGACGAAATTAGTGTTGAGTAGTTTATAATAAATGTATGATCAATGCTTCCTTCGTTTTCAAACACAGGCGGTAGATCTAGGGTAATTCGCAGAAATTCGTCATCAACATTTTCTGCTGAAAACGATGTTGGATCTGGAAAAAAGGGCAACAATTTCGTCTTCCCGCTTTTTATATATCTATGGCAATAATTAATGGGAAGTCCTAGTGCTAATGAAGCAAAAACAAATTCATTCATTGATAAGAATCTCATTCGATTTCAGGTACCGACTATTTCGTTTCGGGTCTCCAAGAAAACTATCCTACTTCGCACAACAAAGGCAGCGAGACCGAAGTAGGCGAGACAGTTCCCATCGTCAATTTCCAAGAGTGTTCCCGAATCGTCGCCGATTACGTGAGCAGCAAAGCCAAGCCGCCGGAAGAACTACCGCTGAAAACGATTTTCGCCTTCAGTTTTTATTTCGACAGGGCCACCGAAGTCGGTTTGATAGGTGAGTCGAAATCTGATTTAAAAATTGAAATTGCCACGGTTAGAGGAGAGCCCTGTGATAAAAGGGACGTTTTTTCATTCACCGGTGGCTCCATCAATCCACCAACTGCGTTCATATATTCTTTGGTGGATTCCAGTTTGACGCGTTCATTTATTACTGTTGTGTCAACCAAAATTGCAAACCATTCCACCGATGTACAGAGATGTTGGGAGAATTTTTGTGGATTTCGAAATGACAGCGACAAAATAACCTCAAAAAACTAGAAACTAAAAATTGGATTTGAAAGCTGTTTGCCATTTGCCTAAGAAATAACATGGAAGAATTAATCGAAATCAGCATAGAATATGAAAATGAAAGAATAGCTGCATTATTGACACCAACAGAAATTGAAGTAATTTCAAGTGGTAGCCACTCATTTTATGCCCATCATGAATTTCAAGAAATAAGTGCAAACATTCAGGAAACTTGAGTAGCAACAGAGAATTCCTGTTAATGACTTTATCCATATCATCATAATTTGATGCAATGTTTTGTATAGGTTTGTTGAGAATTTTTCAACCTATCTCATCTACTTCCCAACATAAACATTATTATTTTCATCCTCCGAACTATCAGAAGAACTGCAAGAACTTTTGGATCTAGAGACAAGAAGTCCAATAACACTTTTAATACATCATTTTCCATTTTACATTAGTTTTCGCCAATTCTGAGCTTCTAATTCAAATTAATCAAATCCTCATCAAATCACGAAAAGAAAAATGAATAAAGGAAAAACAGTTGTGATTGTCATGTCAAATAACTGCGTTCTTTCAACACTGATGACTCAAAAAATTCGATGCATCAGAGAGTGACGTCACTTCCATCAATGATGAAAATGTGGTGTAAAAAAGAACATGCCTGTAGTGAAAAGTATAGGAATTCATATTGGTAGTAAGCTGATGTTCAAGGCACTGGTCAAATTTATTGTTAGTAACTGTTACTCATTGAATAATCTATGTCACAGTAAATCTTTCATATTGGACCCCGCACCGCAATAGGGGGGAAATTGGCTTTCGGTGAATTTCCTCGAATTTCGGATATATCGTAGAACTCGTGATGCTGATCAGTTGGTTCAAAAATAGCAAATGTTCCAATTATTTCCGAAATGGTGAGCGGTTGAAATCAATTCATTTTTGGACATTCTGTAGTATACTAATATCAACATCGATTCATGATGATTGCATTTTTTAAATCAGACTACATATTGTACACAAGATGTTCAAGTTTCCATGAAACCGCACCATTCCTGATATTCATATCGATCGAATGATTGGAATCCCGAAAAACTTGGTGAGAAAGTTGATAATTCGTGATGAAAATATCTTATGCAAATACCTGAAATATACAGGGTGGTTGAGAAAGTAGTAGTGGAGTTTTCTTGGAGTTGATGTACTCCAGAGCAATTGAGAAACAAGACAGAAATCCTGAGTACGTCAACTCCAAGAAAACTAATCAAGTTATCAAAAAGATGTAAGAATCCTGTCGTTGAATAAATCATAATAGGGGGAACCCATGATATAGTTCATTCTTGACTCTTTCGAGTAACTAGCATGTCCAAATATTTCTAATACTCCATAAGAAAATTTCATGTGAATGTTGGAGACTTGGCAACATTGTGCTGAATGCTGAGAAGGGACAAGACCACGCCCACAAGTCGTGCGCGCGGTGTTGTCACGTTCACTGCTTCAAATGTCCTCTAGTGTGAATTAATATAATTACTATTTACACGAATATATCATGAGCAATAAACCACAAATCATCAGGTGACATTTTGAGACAATTGATTTTGTATTGCTGAATACTAATATTACCAATACATAATTGAGAATTCATTGATTCTGAATAACTAATATTTCTGAAGTTCCCAATCGCATTCCAAGACATGGCAACTGTGCTATGGTCTACCCCTACTTACGAAATCATTACATCAGTTTTTACTCGTGGTAAAGTTCTATCCGTTTGAAAATCACCGTGGCATTTTTGATGATTTTAGCACCTAAAAATTTACCGAAAAATTTAAAAAAATATGGAATCGAAATTTATTTGAGCGATGACTCTATTTGAGAAATGAAAAAAGTCCACTCGCCTATTCAAAGAATCCAGAATTCCTGTATCAAATTCATTTACTCACTCAGAACCAGAGACCACATTTCTTATACATTTTGCGAATTGGGATGGCTCAATATGTTCAATATTCGAAAATTGCATATTGCCTGCTTGGTTCACAAAGTATTGAAAAATAAAAATCCTATCTTCATTCATCATCTATTAATATTCACTTCGGAAATTCATAATCGTTTCACTAGAAATACAGGTCTTCTCATGATGCCTATAGGCATAAAACAGCTTTAAAAGAAATATGCTTCTTCTATAATGCAGTTAAAAAAGAGTTCAAGAATCAATCATTGTATTGAAAAGGATTATTATTGAAATAAGTGCAAATATTTTAAACCCTGAGAAATCTGGATGACTGTCGAATGGCACCATGAAAAATACACTAATAAGTTGAGAAAAATAGTAAAATGCTTACAGTTTTTTGATTTCACATCTCCATTGAGAAATTGAAATAAATAAATATCTTGGAACTGCATTCGGATGTTTCTTTTTTGCAGATGAGTCAACAGGAGGACAAATCAAAATCAAGGACTTCAAGAATACTGCAAAGAAGGGTAAATATTTTTCATGATTATACTTTGTTGTTGGGTAGTTACATTCCATAAATTTGTATATATTCGTTGTTACATTTTAAAAGGAACTTCGAACTTTCCCTATTATTGTGTATGTAGAAAATTACATTAATATATATCTCTAGCTCGTTGCTGCTTCATCATATCTCATATGTTTCATATTAGTTTGTTGAATTGAAGTTTCATGAGGTGTTGCTCTCTTTGTCGATATTTTCATTTAATAAATAAATTCGTCCTCATCTTCAATGGTCCTAAAGTTTTTTTCAATCATCATTTGTTTTGAAGTCAAAGTTGACTTGAATTCCTTACCGATTTGAAGAGGACTTGAATAGTTTGCTATGACGCTGAAGCAAATGAAACTTGAGAGAACTGACAATTGAAGTTGTCTTTATAAAATAGAACTTCAATTCCTGGACTTTTTCTCATAAAAAATGTTATCGTCAGATGCGGATCACCTATTTGAGACAATCTTCATGTACTTAGTGAAAATGTATTCTACGCGATAGTAATAATAATAATAATAATCGTCTTTATTTTCTTGTATATAAAGTTATTACAAAATAAAAAGAGGTGAGGTTTAGAATAATTGCTATTCTTACACATAGTCACTGATGATTCAGAAATTCGTGACGTGACATATGGTTTCTTGAAAAAATTGCTGAGTGTCAAACATAGCTATGTTGCTTGCTTGAAGCAAAAACTGAGTACAGCGATTTTGCTGATCAGCAAGAACTCTCTCAATAATCGACAAAACTATATCGCTTATATGTAAACTTTCAAATACCATCCCTGAAATATTTACATAAGATCAAAACGATCTGGATTTATAACAGATTTCAGTAAGGATATATCAGTTATTTAGTTAGTTTCTGCATATACTATGGGGAACCTCGAAAAAAATAATGAATACATCTTGGTATGTTCATCCAATGTTAAATGGAGCCCTAGAGCCGCAAGTGCAGTCTACTTCAAACGGAACTTCAAACCCCCCGACTCCGCGCGGTGCGAGAGATGCTCCAATTGACTGGATAGACTAAAACATTGTTGACATTTTTATTTAATTCATTGAAAAAATGTGACTTCCAGCAAGAAACAAGTTCTGGTATAAGGAAGTATAGGTAGTTAACAATATTACCTAATTTATACAATAATAACAAACTCATAAATAATAATATTTGAATACATTAAATATATAATTTTTACAAATCATTTTATATTGATGAAAATCAATTCAAATAGGAATTAAAAGTTGGGGAATTAATTAAAAAAAAATCATCTATTTTGTTCAGGAATGGTCAATTTTTTGAGTTCATATTTGAATTTGATTGTGTATTTCCGCAATTTTTTATATCATCTGGTGATTTATTCAAATAGTGAATATTTTTTGTACTATAGAAGCATTATCAACATCAAGATGAAATAAATCATGTTTGTCTAGTTTGGTGGTGATCAATAGATTATTTTCATTGTCTCTTGTTGAAATAACATTGAATTTCAATCTTTTATTCATGATATTGTATGACATTTTCATACTTTCAATTTTGAACATTTGAACATGCAGTACTTCTGATGTCTTTTTATACAATGCAGATATTGTATTAAAATGTTTTTTGAACAGTATCCCCAAACATTTATCGAATACACAAAGAGAGAAATTCAAAGTCATTACCTCAATAGTTCATAAAATGAACGAAAATGGTAGATAACGGAAGAAAAACAACTATTTTCGTGGTTATATGCCACTAAAAACATTGGATTACATCCTCCCGAAATCTATGCAATAATTCGTATAGACGAATAAAATCGCAAGTGTTTCCATCCTAAACGCCGAGCTGTTGGCTCTCATTAGTGCAGGGCTGTCCCAGATAGCTTCTTGACCGCTATCTGGTGCGAACATGACCCACACACACACACACCACGCCCCCCGAAAGGTTGAATGCCCAGGATCAAGTGCCGCCATATAACTAGCTTACGTTATATGATAGCTCCTCATCCCCATGTCCATCCACCCCTACACACTAACTAGTGGACCTCAACCTTATGCATTTGGCAATCTGCATATGTTTTATAAAACCCCTTACTTGGTTTCAGTCTTCCGACTTAAAAACCTTTTTGTCCAATATGTGTTTCCTAGCCTGACTTTGCGTGGTGGTTCCCTACCCTAATGGGAAACAAATTTGAGTTTATGTCGTATTATTATTGGTTTACTTTTTTATAGGGTATCAAAGGAGATACTCTTCTGTTTATTTATCTGGTGATTATTATGCAACTTTTATTGATATTGATTTAATTTCGTTCGTTTATCTTATATTTGGTGAATTATGCGCCTGTACTTTATTCTTCCGAAGCGCGGGTCTTGATTTAGTTGTCTATTAGTCAGGTCGTGCAGTAGCGGGTTTTCGTGGGTTTCCGTTCTTCCGAATGTAGTCTCCGCGTGTTGTCTTATGTAGCCTGACCCAACAACGTTCAACGTCCGCGAAATGAAGACGAACGCCCAACGCCACCTGGCAGAGAAAGAAACACTAAAAAAATCTCCGATTTCAGGTGAAATGAAAGTGGCTGGTGGCCAGACTGGCGTATTTTCAACTAGGAAAAAGCCAATTACTCAAAATGGAATGCAATGGTCATAAAGAGAGAAAGTCAAAGTCATTACCACAATAGTTCATAAAATGAACCAAAATGTTAGCTAACGAGAGAAAAACAACTACTTTCCTGGCTATATGCCACACTGAACATTGGATTACATCCTCCCGAAATCTATGCAATAATTCGTATAGACGAATAAAATCGCAAGTGTTTCCTTCTCGTTTCCTCGTGGGGTATAAAGGCTGAGATGCGTTTCTGTTGGATCAGGAATCAAGACCCGCGCTTCGGAAGAATAAAGTACAGGCGCCCAATTCATCAATTATAAGATAAACGAACGAAAGTAAATCAATATCAATAAAAGTTGCATAATAATCATCAGATAATTAAGAAGAGTCTCTCCTTTGAAACCCTATAAAAAAGGTAAACCAATAATAATAATACATTAACTCAAATTTGCTTCCCATTAGGGTAGGAAACCACCACGCAAAGTCAGGCTAGGAAACACACATTAGACAAAAAGGTTTAAAAGTCGGAAGACTGAAACCAAGTAAGGGGTTTTATAAAACATATGCAGATTGCCAATTGCATAAGGTTGAAGTCCACTCGTTAGTGAGTGGGGGTGGATGGACATGGGGATGAGGAGCTATAATATAACGTAAGCTAGTTATATGGCGGCACTTGATCCTGGGCATTCAACCTTTCGGGGGGCGTGGTGTGGGTGTGTGTGTTGGGTCAGGTTTGCACTAGATAGCGGTCAAGGAGCTATCTGGGACAGTCCTGCACTGATGAGAGCAAACATCTCGAAACCAGTCTGCAGGTAGTCACGCGATTTTATATGTCTATACGACTCATTGCATAGATTTCGGGATCATGTGATCCAATGTTCTGCGTGGCATATAGCCAGGAAAGTAGTTATTTTTCTCTCGTTATCTACCATTTTCGTCCATTTTATGAATTATTGTGGTAATGACTTTGAGTTTTTCTCTTTGTGGCCTTTGAATTCCACTTTGAGTATTTGGCTTTTTCCTAGTTGATTTATCAAATAGTTACACTTAGTATATGAAAATGATGAATTATATTTGCAACTTTCTTATCAAGCACTAAGAAGATGTTAGTGCTCCAATGATAGGAACTATTTTTTCGACAATACTTTTATAGGTTTGTCCCACTTTAATTCATTTCTCGAACTGTTACTGAGATGCTTTCATACCTTTGGATCACTCTTTATATGAGATAATAAGTTGCGTGTGGAACTATTTCGTAAGCCTTAGCAAAAACGCTCCATTTTCCATCTCTGAATCATAATATTTACTTACAAGTTACAAAAGTATTGATTTTCGCTGTCAAATTTGTAACAATAAAAAGACAATGGTATAATTTGATTTTCAGTGTGTCATGAAGCGAATGCTGACCAACCGTTTATGTGTCTTGATCTCACGATCATCTCTGTCCTATTAGAACAGGGTTTCGGACTAAATGAAAACACCAAGATTTTCGTAAGTATAATTTTAATTCTGCATCTACAACGAAGTCATCATGAAAGGAAAACGCGTATAGAAAAAGATTTCACCTCGAAACGCAATTTTTTGGACACTACACGTCCTAAAGCAAAAATCCCTGTACAACAATTTTCTTGTGTCTTCAATTTCGTTTTGTCAGTGGGGAAATTTATATTCTATTTTACCAAAGAAAGGTGTAGATTTTCCTTCTTTGCACCGACATTTTGAAGTTTTTTGGTATTATGTTATTTATCTTTCCTTTCAATAATACACCAATAATATGTTTTTTCTGTAGCCGCCTCGAAAATAAACTTTTCAGCATGATTAATCAAATCGAAAGTACCACTTTACACAAATGGTTCCGAAAGTAGTTATTTTTGGGACGATTTTTTAACTTTTGGAACGATGTCTCTACTTTCTTGACGATTCTTGGTACTTTTGGGTATTCATATAGGCGGTCGCCAAGGTCGCCAAGGATGTTTTCTCGTAGTTTCAAATGTCATAGCAACGTCATTTGATGACCTTGAAACCCCTGAATAACAGGAACTTTTTATTTTAATATGACAGTGCTATGAGTGTCATGTAACATCCGTGTGTGATTTTTCGCTTTTCAAATCCAAAAAATAGCTAGATACCTAGATAGATAGATATACAGATCCCGTGAAATATCACTTTCGGAACTTGTTAGGTAAATAACTATTTTCAATATGTTGGAAGCTACACAACTCTTCAAAAACATTCCATATAGTCATGTATTATTCTCGAAAGGAAGAAGACAGGTAGGTATTAAGCAAGGAAATAACAATATCAAACTACTAGATCATGCATAGAGAGAAATTTTTAAAAAGCTCAGAGTTAGTCGCATCGATTGGGGACACGTGATCACCACACCTATAACAATGTGAGCAAGGAAATAATATTTTACGACGCCATTAGAGTTTAATCAGAAAATTCTAATTCTGACATGTAATTTGGCATAAACTGACGAAAGGTTTGAAAGGTTTACTTAACGTAACAAGTTGCGTAAAGTAAAATATTACATAACTGGACGAAGAGAATAGTGCATTTTCTGCTGCTTCCTGGATATAACTTCTGAACTTGAAACAGCTGTTTTCTACTAAAGAAAATATTGAACGAGTCTATTTCGTGAATTTCGTCGCTGATTTGTGACCATATTATTATTTGAAGGATACTTCAAAGTGACAGGCGGAGTCAACTTGCATAGTAAAATTTTGTACATATTCGGTTGAAGTCATGTAGAACTTTTCATTATTTCTGTTCAAGCGAATGTTTTCATCAAATTTTGAAAAACTATTGTACGTAGCTAGTTAGGAAACGCATTTTGTGTAACTCTGTGTTTCCCATAGTCACACAAAATAGGCGCTATCCTTTTGTTATGCCTATCACACGAACTGTACCAGGCTTGAAGCTCCGGTGCTGCTCTAAAATAGAAAAGCTTTTATTTTATTAATAATGTGTAGCGCATGCGCCTTCATGTTGTTTTGATGGAAATCTTGTTTGAAGTCAAAAAGTCAATAGTGATTATTGTTCCTTATCGATATTTAAAAATTATTAAAATCTCATCGCCCATGAAATGTCAAATTTCAAGCAATGACAGCTCTGTCTAACAGATGAGTATTACTGAAGAGAAAATCAGATCGCTACAAGCCGAGGAAAAAAATCGCTGTTATCTGTTGCAGCCGTAGAAAAAGTATAGTGTATTCATTCAGTGCTCGTTAAACAATATACTACTGCTATCCTAAGGAATGTGAAACATGAAAATAATGAAAATGGTGATTACATTTAGAATCACATTTGAAAACTTACACTATGATTAAAATAAACTGCTCAACATATAAAACGTAAAATCGCATTTTCTCGATCAAATTTGAATTATCATAACTTTCGATTTCCTCAACCGATTTTCAATTAGTTTTCAGTTTCTGACAGCTCGTTCGAACCTATGGATATGACTATTTCTTCTTTCCCGGATGAGATTCTACAGGATGATAATCAAAGCTGTGCATTTTTTCAAAAATTTCAAACGCCTTCCGTTTGAAAGAAAAATTTGTCTATTATTTTTTGGGGTCAAAAACATATTGCTTCATATGTTTTCTCGATAATGTTGAAAAATTTTTGAAAGTGTCACACGCGTTACTGAAATATGAATGTTTTATTAAGATTATGCATAATTTGACCACCCTGTATAGAAGAATAGGTTTATCATGCATCATTTCAAGATTTTTGACCACCATTCGAACCAGATTGACAGGAACACAAAGCCAATAGAAATTAGAGCATCAAATTATGCATTAACTTAATAAAACATTCATATTTCAGTAACGCGTGTGAAAATTCTAAAAATGTTTCTACGATATCGAGAAAACATATGAAGCAATATGTTTTTGACCCAAAAAAAAATAGAAACATTTTCCTTTGAAACGGGAGGCGTTTGAAATTCTTGAAAAAATGCACAGCTTTGATCATCATCCTGTAGTATCTCATCCGGAAGAGATGAAATAGTCATATCCATAGGTTCGATAGTCGATGAAACGAGCTTTCAGAAACTGAAAAATAATTGAAAATCGGTTGAGGAAATCGAAAGTTATGATGACTCAAATTTGAAAGAAAAAATGCGAATTTACGTTTCATGTGTTGAGCAGTTTTGATTGATACCTTGCACTATTAAACCATTAGTGTTAATTGTTTGTAGGAGTATGCCAAGTTTTTAAATATTCATCATTTTTATCATTACAAATGTCTTCTCTTTCAGCTGTATAAGAAAATCAATGGTCATGAAATCAGCTGGGCTCTTGGAGCAGCATATGATCTGTTGAGGAGATAATCCAGAATTTTTAAAATTGTTGAATAGTTTCGGGTTTTACTGCACTTTTTTGTATCTGTCCATCAATTTTTTTCTGGATAGGTTCATACTATGAAACCTATATATTCCAATTCTAGAGAAGAATTATACTTTTCTACATTGCATGTAATTAATCTCTAATTCTGTTTTCGGCTCAATCTGGAATTTGTTAAACAGATTCACACGTATTTCTCACTACTGTACCGAACGGGGTACTTATTCATCTTGTGAGAATAATCAACACAATTATATCTATGGACCGGATTTTTTTCGCGTTTTTTTCATATATTACTTTCAATATGTGACGACGAAATAGGTACAACGATTTGTGTGGAATAGTACCGCACGATGTTTGGAATAATAAACACTTGAGGCTACTGATTAAACCCACTTGTAAATGTAAATTTTGACAGCGTTATGCATGATTTTCTTGGCTACCTGTCAAATTCAAGGAAACTTCATGAAACCTGTCACTGATCAAAATAGACATGCCTCAGCTCCAATTTGCGGCCTCATTAAATGCCTGCGTATACGTTTTAGTGTTGCCTTTACGGTACATAATATTATCTACTATTTTTTTGAGGTTGCAATGGTAATATCTGATAATTGATGGGATGTTCATTGGTGGCTAAGCATTTGACGTTTTGATTCTGTTGTTAAGTGCCTACCTATAATTTTCAATAAGTTTTTGCATAGAGTCTTGCGTTTGAAATAACATATTCCATGCCCCTACTACAAATAATTATGACAACTTTTGGATATTTGCCATTTTTTTCATAATTTACTTGAAGAACGAGAAGGAGATGTTCGTTTCATATACCTTATAGATTCTAGAAGAGGGAATGAGATCGTTTCGTTTGGTTAGACATCTGTTTTCGCTAAATCATTGATATATAACCATCGACCGTGTTTTTGTGATTTTATCGATATAAAAACACATATCAAGAACCACTACGACCTCAGTCATTTCCTAATTGAATGTCCAATTCGAAATTGGATGGACAATATTTAGCTCAACACGTAGACATACCTACATATATCTTAATTTCCACTACCCGCAGGTTCCATCTATCCATATTATAGTGGTTTCTAATATTGAAAACAGTGTGAAATATACCAATAGAGAAGAATCTTCAACATTGATTGATTGCCACGTGAGAGATATGTATATCCAAGAATACATCCGTATCTCTTTAACATTTGTTTAAAGAAATGACGAATCAACCCTTAAGCTTACTGTGTCCTCAAATGGGGACAGTCTATTCTATTATGATTTTTGAGAAGCTATGATTGTTTCCACTGTAATCTCATAGCAAACTACTAATCATTTTAGTGTTTGATAAATGGCCAGAAGTCCTCAAACTGATGAAGAGCTCTTGTAGTTGACTGAAGGAAGGTTTCTAGATGGAATATTATATATCTGATGCGATTGCATAATATTTTGTGTGATGTAAAGTTCAGATAATTCTCACATCATTGGCTCACACTAGAGTGAGTATATTGAATAGAGTGGCGACAATAGTCCTCAAGATGACTGCCGTTTCCGGAATATCATTCGTGGTCAAGTCATTGAATAGCTGAAAATCGGAAGGGTATCTCACATGCAGTAATGAATTTGCGCCTTCGAAGTGCCCACCTGATGTTAGGTTTGATATTTGATATTTTCATTTCATCATCTAAATAATCTGAGACTGAGTCCCATATCCGTATAGAGTGTCATGTCTCATTGTTGGATTTTTTGTGCCCAAAGAGCAAGATACAGTGACAAAGCGTTGACAATGTGAAATAGAATACGTAGAATTGAATGGAGAAACCAAGACATTCGGATGCACCTCCATATTAGAGGTTTGACCAATCAAAGAGTGCATCACTATTGTCGCCACTTTGTTTTATAAAGCCACTCTAGCCCACACTATCCACATTTGTAGACAAAAGCTCTTAGACCCAAAGGGTCATTGCGAATTTAAGCATGATCATATCAAACATTGAAAAAAAATCATAGGTACTGTATACAAATTATCAGCTTTTCATCTTCAAAGCTATTAATTCGTGAGCGAGATGTAAGAACGATCACGTGTTACTCAATAATTCTGAAGGCACGTTTTAGTTTTATGAAAGTGAAAAACAAAGAGAGCAAAGGAAAAATAAATGCTAGCATAGTACCATAATAACCATGCTGTTTTTAGATGCTAAACAAATTATTGTTATCAACAAATAATTCAAAGTGAGAATGAATAGTTTGATATTTTATGAAAACAGTAAAAAAACTACTGGCAGTACATATGTGCACTTTTATTGATTTCATTTGTCCTTTCTAGACAAACCAATAACAACAATAATAATGTGTTATTCATGCTTGTGTCTCGTACATTTAGAAGCTATTAGCACAACAAGCAGTCAATTATAGTAATAATCAGTGGTGCAATAATTATGCCAGATCATGTTGATTTCCGTTGTGCCGGTATGAGATCTGAATGGTTCCGATGATATATACTTTGGTAGCCTACAGGGTTATCCTAATTATTTAGTGTCCAACCATTGGTAACTTTGTTATTATCAAAGATACGACAACATTGTTTAAATAAGCAAACTTGCAGTATTTTCAACGCACCTTGAGTATAAAACAATCGAACAGATACATCACATTTTTGAAAACAATTTTTTAATTCTGATCAAAACTAACAAAAGACCAATACACACTATCATTGCAAACTGAATTGTCCTGAGGTGGCGTATGGAGTTAGGAATTATGTCTGCACAGAACACACCATTCAGAACACTTTGGGCTGAAGCACCTCTCGTAAGGTCGTTGGTATATACATACATACATACATACTAACGAATTACATATACTACTAACATGAACCAAGTGACACTGGTCATTGTCTATATATAAAAGTTTTAATGGGCTGGATCTTTTCCATGGTAAGTTGCCCCATCATTGAAAAGCAGCATGTTATAAAAAAAAAGGAATCGTATGCTTATCTGGTACAATTTCTTCGGCCTACTCTCAGAAATCATTTTGAAATCAATCAAACCTCTCTCGTTTGTGAATATCTATATATATATATTCTGAGAAATATGTAGGATGAATATATTCAGTGGGTATTTTTGAAAAACTCGCTGTAAAATATTTCTAATGCCGAGGAATTGTATATGGGAGGTTATATTAAAAACATTTTGCTGCTCCTTGTATAATCTTTCAGATATTAAAAATATGCCTGTATTCGAGAAGCGAAATATTCTCTATAGGGCTGTTTATATACAGGGTCGTTGATATGTATGGAAACAGCTGAATATCTTGGTAACCTGTTGTTGGATTTTTTTGAATTCATGTTCTGTGTGATTTCAAAACGGATTTGAAAATATTATAGCCGATGTTGCCACTTTTTCAGTTATTCCGGATTTTTTATCAACTGCTTATTTTGAATGGAACACCCTGTACTTTATTGGATTCTCAGATTCTCCTTGAAGAGCTGATTCCATCAATCTCTCATACTTGGGGTCTAGCGGGAATGATTACATAATTACATAGGTATAGGGTGTTTAAAATCTTGATTTTTCAACTTTGGGATTTTTTTGTATCGAAACTATTTATTATCGATTAAAATCGCTCAAATGTTCCTATCTTTACTTCGGATTAACTATCTACTGACATTTAATTGAAACAAATACACGGTGGTTCAAGATTCAGAATTCTGAACACTCTCTGTATCTGTTCCAATTGAATGTCAGTAGATAGTGAATCAAAAGTAAAGATAGGAACATCGGACCGGTTTTGATCGATAATGGATAGTTTCGACACAAAAAAACCCTAAAGTTGAAAAATCTAGATTTTAAACACCCTAGACCCCAAGTGTGATAGTTCGATGGAATTAGCTCTTCAAGAAGAATCTGAAGGGTGTTGCTCTCAAAATAGGAAGTAACAAAAAAATCCGGAATAACTGAAAAATTGGCAACATTGGCTATAACATTTTCAAACCCGCCACGTTTTGAAATCAAACTACGTAAATTAAAAAACAACAGGTTACCGAGATATTCACCTGTCGATATTGGTCTTGCAGAAACGTTCAAATTGGCAAAAATTAAGTATTTTTTATTGGCATTCAGAATCTAGTACCAGAAAATGCAAAAAAGCATCATGTACTTGAAAATTTTACATAAACTAGTACTTTTCAAATGGAACACCCTGTATTTCATTTCTCTAATCGGTAGAGCTCTGTCTCCTGATTCGAAATATACAGTGCTAGTCAAAAGTCCCCTCCCCCCCTCGTATCTTTTGAACGGGTATACTTATAATAATGAAATTTGGAGGGTGGAAATAAACGGATGTAGGCTTCTCAACTGGTCATAACAGGTGACGCAATAGTCATAAATGACGTCACAAGGCCATTATTATAAGTATACCCGTTCAAAAGATACGAGGGGGGGAGGGGACTTTTGACTAGCACAGTATATACATTATTGAGGTTATCTTTGTCAGTTCTCGAAAGTAATGATTCTAAGGCAGCTATAGAACGTCTGAAATCACAGTATTGTCGTCTGGCATTCAACACCTGTCTTAGATCTACACCGAAAATTCTATATTTTTCAAAAACCGACATAAGATAACCTCAATGAAGTTTCTATATTTGAAGTCAGAAGAAAGACCTCTACCGTTTTGAAACATACCAGTCCATGTAGAATTTTCAAGGTTTACGATGATTTTTTGCATCTCCCGTACTGAATTCTGAATGCTCATAAAAATACTTCATATTTGCCCATTTGAACGATTTTGAAAAACAAATATTAAGTGAGATAGCTATTGCGTAAAATGTAAAATATAAACAATCACCCTGTACATACGTGCGTACGTGGCCACCAGATAATTATTATGAAATACGATTTTTCTAGTCGATGAATAATGCAAAGAATTTTGAATTATGAGGACTCTAATAAGTAGCTATTAAACTATGAAATAATAAAATTAATGTTTCGTCCTTCAATTAATTTTTGTTTTCTGTTTTGCTCAAGAAGGATTGCATAATTTTATTACTATTTCTGGCAAGTTCTTCCATTCTATTCATGTTTTCAATTTCCACTCCACATTTCTTCTAAATTAATAGTGGCTATTCCACTAATGGCCAAATATTTTTGTCCACTGTAAATTATCGACCTTGCTTCAACAAATTAAAATGCCTAATTAACCTACCAGTGACCAACCCATCTCGTTTCTCAACGAATATCTTTTTTGACATTCATAATTTCAATTATAACTATACAGGGTGGCCCACGGTCGATGGTACCTTAGACGTATACGGAAAACGATACATTGGATTATCCTGAAAATTTGGTTACTCTAATGAGCGTTTGTCATCTAACGATTCAAAATATTTTCAGCGAAGCAGCGTTGCCACTTTTACCAAAAAGTAGCATCATCTTTGTTATTTCAAATGGAACACCCTGTATTTTATTGCGTTTTTAGATTCTTCTCAAAGAGCTGATTTCATCAATGCATCACACTTGGGGTCTAGCAGGAATTATTACAGAGATATAGGGTGTTCAAAATCGAGATTTTTCAACTTTAGGATTTTTTTGTGTCGAAACTATTCATCATTGGTCGAAACGGCTTACATGTCCCTATATTAACTTTTGATTAACTATCTACCGACATTTGATTGGAAAAAATACAGGATGGTCCAAGATTCAGAATTTTGATCACCCTGTATCTGTTCCAATTAAATGTCAGTAGATAGTAAATCAAAAGTTGAGATAGGGACATGTAAGCCGTTTTGATCGATAATGAATAGTTGCGACACAAAAAATTCCTGAAATTGAAAAATCTCGATTTTGAACTCCCTATATCTCTGTAATAATTCCTGCTAGACCCCAAGTGTGATGCATTGATGAAATCAGCTCTTCGAGAAGAATCTAAAAACGCAATGAAATACAGGGTGTTCCATTTGAAATAACAAAGATGATGCTACTATTTGGTAAAAGTGGCAACGCTGCATCGCTGAAAATATTTTGAATCGTTAGATCACAAACGCTTATTAGAGTAACCAAATTTTCAGGATAATCCAATGTACCGTTTTCCGTATACGTCTAAGGTACCATCGACCGTGGGCCACCCTGTATAAGTTATCCTATTCAGAAGTACTTATTCATTAGTGTTATATGAGAAAAAACTCAAATTTCCTTATAGTAATGCACTGCCAAAGTTATTGAAAGAAAGTTGAATAACTTTTTCCGAATTTTGGTCAAAAATATACAGGGTATGTCAAAACGAGCTTACACTATCTCTATATCGAGAATCAGTCAGGAGAAATCCATGGAAATATGCATGCTTATATTTTGGAATACGCTTTCTTCATTCAAAATATTTTCAGCAATGCAATGTTGCCGCTTCTATAAAAAAGAAGCAAGAACTTTGTTATTTCAAATAGAATACCCTGTGTTGAAAAGGAATATTCTCAGATAAATTATGGACATACAAAAATGGATATATATTTATATTTTTGTATGTCCATAATTCATCTGAGAATATTCCTTTTCAACACTTTCATACCCAATCAGGGGGTTCAAACTTGAACGATGGAAACTTGTGATTTTTATAGACCTCTAATCGCAGTCTCAATTCAGAATTTCTTTCCACGCCCTGTATGATGAATGTCAATTTATCATACACCCAAAAGCAAAAGAAGAATACCCTGTATTTCATTGCATTTTTAGATTTTCCCTGAAGAGCTGATTTTATCGATACATCACACTTGGGGTCTATCGGAAATATTCACCGTGATATAGGGTGTTCAAAATCGAGATTTTTCAACTTCAGGATTTGTTTGTTCCTATCTCAACTTTTGATTCACTATTTGCTGATATTTAATCGAAATAGATACAGGGTGATGAGAATTCTGAATCTTGAACCACCCTCGACAATGATATTACGATGTTGGGTATTAGTACCAACCTTTTAATAATGTTTCACCTCCATGTAAGTAAAAAATTCTTCGTTTTTTCTGACATGTATTTTCATCTTGTCTCTGCTTGTAGTAACTTCTCAATTGGGCTGAAGATGGACTTTTCTAAGTCCGAAACATGTCCCCTTGAGTGAGCACATCAATAAAAGAGTGTGGAGATGATTTTGAGCTTTCCTTCTTTCCATAGTTGGTTTTATATTAGTGTCAATTTAGCTGATATGCCGTTTTTCCACGGTATATATCAGTCACTACAAAAACTACATTTTTTTTTTCACATCATTAGTCATAATTTACATGAACAGTATTTCTCTAGCTCATCCATATATAGGTTGAGCATCACCCTATATACAGCGTGTCTCACTTCAAACGATTGTGCGATTCTAACCAAATTTGGACCAATATGAATAAACATCAATATGATCAGCTTTTCAGAGACGAACATAATATTTTGTTGAAACGAAAAGGGGTCATTCTTATATAGGAAAACTCATAATATTGTTCCTCATGGTATCAACCCCCCATATGTAAATTTTCAAATAATTTCTATGAAGGGTTACAAAGAAAACAGGCCCATCTGCATAGCATTTTTGCGAACGTAACTAATTATTCACTCGAAAACGGTGAGTTCAACATAAAAAAAGTATACAGGGTGTTTCATTACTAATTGGAAATATTTCAACCATAGAATCCCGAACTCAAAATATGAAGATTTAACCCAAATCACCTAGATAAAATATGCCTCCTGTCTGAGTTACAGGGTGTTTTATTCAAAAATTTTGAAATGTTTTTTGCCCAGTTCTTCAAAACTATTTGAAGTGTAGGTATTTTACACCCAATTGAATTATGTTAAATGAACTTTTCTAGCTATTACCAGAGGCGTACGACAGGGGCAATTAACTGGTTGATCCCTCCCAAATTCTACGTCACTGGCGGAATTGCAATTCTATCACAAATTTTCGATTATCCAAAAATTTTGACGTAGATATTGTACTCTTTCTCCA